AAAAAAATTCTAAATAAATAAAAAGAAATATTACTAACAAATTAGTAAAAAAAAATCATTGAATAATTTTTAGACATACATTATTTTTCTTTTTCATCCTCTTTCACGTTTGCACCTATTTATTATGTATTGTTGGGGATAGAAAACAGTATCAGTTTTGAATTTTTATCAAAGCACTTAAATAACTTTAAATAAGTGAAAACTGCAAAAAAAAAAAAAAAAAGAAGCAATAAATTTTTTTTGTAATTTATAATGTTTCACATTTCCAATCTTTCTTCTTCCCTACTCTACAGGTTGCTAGTCAATAATCTACCTCAACACCAGCGTTCTTTCTTTTTTTTTTTTTCCATTTACAAGCTGTAACCTTAGTCATTTTTTAAAACTGTTTTTTCATTCTGTATTTTTTCAGAACTTTCTAGCAACTCCAATATTACTTATCAAATTGTCTGAATGAACAACACTGAAAAAAATAAAAGAAAAAATTATGGGAACAAAACCATTTTATTTTTTTTTTCCCTACCAGCAACATCTAATGGAAGTAAAGCTTTTTTTTCTCGTGTTTTTCAGAAAAAAAAAAACGGCGTAAGGGAAGACTAAGCGAGAATGAAAAGGGTATACCACCCAACTGGTAAATTGTTGGTCCAATGGAACAAACTTTTACGATAACAGCGCCTGGCATGAACGATGAGCACCGTAGTTAGTGGGTGTTATTCACGCAAATTTCCAATCAATTAGTTCAGAATATTTTCAACGAGACCTTTAGATTCTCCCCCATACCCCACCCCCCAGAAAAAAAAATTCCATCTACAGTTCTTGGTCTTAATGCCGCCGACAAAAACAGAATTGTGACGTAAAAAAATTGATAACGATGAAGACGATGCTGACAGTGTTGGTAAATTTCATGATTACTTCAAATTTGCAGTATGTAGAAAAGGTGAAAACAACTACTGAAAACAAATTTTTTTCTTGTCAACCACAGCCAAAAAATCAAAAAATTAAAAAACTGAAGACTTAATGCCAGCGACACAGTTAGTTATACTTACCGTCTTAACCAATCCTTTGATTTGCCCAATGCATGTTTTGTATGTGTTTCGGCTTCGATAAACTCAGATGGTCGTTTACCTTGTAAAAATGGTTCAACAAATGCTAAAGCTCCAGATTTGGTTGCTTCAACTTCGGTTTGTTTAGCGCTGGCCAAAACACAGACTGCTAAACAGGCATAGTAACATGTTACCGGATGATTCTGTGATGCCAAAAAGAATAACCATTCAGGTACCTGAAAAAATTTTTACAAAATTTAAAATTGAATTCAATTGGACAGTCGCAAAATACTATATCAATCTGTGGTTAGACTGAAAGTAACAGTTAACTGCATAATTGTTTAATTGTTTGAATAAGGAAGTAACGTAATCAATCACTAATTGTTCAATAAAAACTATATATTGTTTTTTTTTTGTTCAAATAACAGTAATAGAATACGCATTAAAAAAACTATAAACTTTCAAGAAATAAATTATGAGAGAAAATAAAATAAATCAAAATTACAGATTAAGTAGAGGAAAAAAATTTTCTACAACAACTTAAAGGTGAGACCAAAAAATTGGTAGAATAAGTGAAAAAAAATAATTAACTAAAAAAAATTAAAAAATTTTCTATATCTTTTTTTTTCCGGTTAAAGTAGAGAAAAATTTCAAGAATATTTGTTTTATTGACGTATTTTTGTTTCAACCAACAACTAAGGTAACTACAAAAACAAAACATGACACACAGATTTCTGTAAATTTACTGATGTCTGAATATAAGCAAATATACTCCGTTTCTATCCGTTACCGCTTGTTAAAGCAAAAAAAAAGAAAGAAGAATAAGTGAATAAAAGTAATAAAAAAAAAAAGCAACAATAACAGAAAGCAAAAAAATATCTGTATCAACTGAGAAACATGACAAAACATCAGAACCTACAAATCTGGAATTTGTAAGCTTCAAAAAGTAAAAAAAGAAAAGCAACAACGACAATTAATCTATGAAACAACAACTATAAATCATAAAGCGAAGCAAATAAGATAATATTTTTTTATAAATTAGAAAAAAAAGTGAAGATAAGAAGACTAAAAAAAGGAAAAAATTGCAAAGATAGATAAGTGAAAGCTGAAGAAAAAAAAAAGAAGCAGACGAGAGGAAACGAGGAGATGAAAATTATGAGGAGGAAAAAAACGGAAAAAGTAAGAAGAAGAAGAAGAAGTTGAAGTGGTAGAAAAAGAAGACGGAGAGGAATACGGAGGAGGAAGAAGAGAGGAGAAAGAAAGATAAGTTTAATTTTGTTTTGACAGTTTTGATGATTAACTGATCCACCGGAAACCTGAAACTGACTACTGAATCCGTTCGTAATTTTTGTCCCACAAATAATCAACCTTTCATTTTTTTTTCCGGCTTTCTTTAAATCAATACAAATTCTCCATTTTTTTTTTCTTTTCTTAATGCATTTTAAATTGATTTAAGAAAAACAAAATTCTATCTTTCCTTCTATTCTGTTTTATTTTTATTTTTATTTTTATTTTCTTCACTTTTGCCATCCATTTTTTCTCATCTTTTGTTCAGATAACAAACGAAAAGAAGCCGAAGAAATAAAAAATTTTAAGAGCATTTTAAGGCCTGAATAAGTGATAATAAAAACACCGCTACCGCCATCACCACCATTCTTATCAGTATTATTACTATTATCATTAATATTATTATCATTTGTCACTAAGATTCTTTAAAACCATAGAATAAAAAGCGTCAAATCATTTTTTAACCAAAAAAAGAAAAAAAAAAA